ACTGTAAATACATGTTATACACAATAGGTCCAACTGGGCAATATAAGAGTAAGTTTAGAGTTAGGGATGCACCGATACTAGTATCGATATCGGTGCCGACACAGAGTATGTGGGCGAGTTCTCGTACTCGCCCAAATGCTCCGATGCCTAGCCCGATACTTCCTCGTCATTACACGCTGCCCGGTTTCCTGATTGGCCGGGAAGCGGCTCCATGCTCTCTCGTCACTTGTGATGAGAGAGCATGGAGCCGACTTCCCGGCCAATCAGGAAGCCGGGCGCCGTGTAATGACGCAGCCCCCAGCATTCTGATTGGCCAGGAAGCCAGCTTCATGCTCCCTCATCATCTCATGACGAGGGAGCATGGAGCCGGCTTCCCAGCCAATCAGGTAATTGGTATCGGTTAGTACCGAGTTACCGTAACTCGGTAATTGGTATCGGCTAATACCAAAAAAAAAAAAGTATCGGTACTCGTGGTCCGTACCAAAATACCGTTATCGGTTCTTCCCTATTTAGAGTCTTCACTACACAAATATGAATTTCTTTCATGGAACTTTTTTTCACTAATAAAAAAAAAAAAAGACTTGCACTTGGCTTCAGTGGACAATTTTTAAAGGCTAAGAGCACCTTCATTTTTAATCACCTCAATACCTGCATGTTTCGTTACTTCCGTATAATTGCAGCAAAAAGTGAAATCACCCTAAGGTGTAATTTGGGAGTGTTTGTACTATGCTGCTTTTTTTATTCAATATGTTTTAGAACAGAAAGGGGTTTTTTTTTTTTTCCAAAATGTTTGGTCTTTCCTTTATAAAGTAAAAAAAAACAAGGTAGTTACTAAATGCCACCAAAAATTATTCTGTCCCCCCAAAAAAAGGGAAGTCATACAATTCATTTGGGTACACTACTGCATGAGTGCCAGTCAAACGATCACAACACTGAAACCTGAGAAATGGCCTGGACAAGAAGTGGGTGTGACGTGACAGTCCTGAAGATAATGACTCAACAATTACAATGCTCTTGAATATGTGTGTGTGTATTACCTGTGTATGTCAAGTAGATCACCGTTAAGAACACAATTCCAGCAGCTAGAGACACTCCCAGGAAGAAGAGTGTCTGGAACTCTTGCTTTGTCAGCTTGTCTCTTAGGTACTGGAGGAAAGCATATGCCTGCAGCAGAGCAAATACTCCTAAAAGAGGGCAGGAAAAAAAAAAAAAGAATCGTTATGGACTAGCAAAGCATTCCTTATCCAAAGTGTGCCAAATTCTTAGTATTGTTTGGCAACATTTGCAGAGGCAGTTTAAATAATGATTTTAGTAAGGCTGTGGAAAGTGCACCAGACGTTGGATGGTGCTTCTAGGAAGATGAATAGGAACAGACAACGTATAGTGGGAGTCTCTCAAATGCGACTGCAAAAGTGGAAATACACTTCAAGCCTTTCTCGCTAAAGGTTTTTCGGTTTACCTTGCCAAGATCTTGAGAAATGTTTGTTTTAATACATTGTGATATTATATGCCCGTGAAAGGATCCACTATCTGTGGCCACTGAGGAGAGGGATCTGCAAACACTGTACATTACATCCTATTCACATAGGGCACCCTACAGAGCAACATGTGCCAAGAGCCCTTACACACATATTGTCCGGGAGGGCACATGGCAGTTTGGGAAGGGGGGGTGTAGTGAGCAAAGAATGCCCATCATTTTTCTCAAGTAGCTGCTTAAGAGAATTTATGGGCTAGGCAGAAAGAGAGACAGGTGGTTGTGTGGGTGGTGACAGGGGAGCAGAGAACTCTTGCCATCATTCTCGGTAGTATCACTGTACCACTATCAGCGGTTGGTCAGTGGGCATTACTAGGCATAATTAAATGCAAATAGATCCCCATTCAGTGCCGCAGAAGGGAGTAAAAATTACACTGGAAATGACAGGAGGCGGCTATGCGACACTATTGCACAGCTGGAAGTAAGCAATTCCTATGAAGCCCTACAAATTATTTGGATAACAATTGCTTACATGCTGATGATCTGTGAGGAGAATGAAAACCAGGAAAGCATTAAGGAGGTATTTCACTATGTTATTTTAGGGTTTTTTGTTTAGGGAGTTGGAGTTCTGTGTTAAGTAGCAGTATAAAAGGAGAGGAAACACAACAAAAACAAAAAAACACAAATCTCACCTGCTGCTGCCATGTGCTCACTAGTCCGAATGGGCTGGAATCCAACAAATGGAATTTGCATGGATAAAATTAAACCCACAATGTAGAAAGTGCTGTATGCTATAGTGAAAAATAAGAACAGAAATATGCAAATTAAACAGGTGCAGTTTGATTGAAAGTCAAACATCAGCACACTGAACATTCATTTCAGAAAATATGTGCTCGACTTGAGTGCGACTTGTATCAACCATTTCCATAAGGGCGAGTATCTTTAAAATTCCTCATGTGAGACCTAATGTTCATTCCTCACATGAGACAAGTGTTAAGTTTGTCAAAGAGACAGATTCTCAAATTCAGCTACCTGGCATGTGACCATGGGAATATCACACAAACTAATCATTATCAGGGTTATTCACAAAAGGGTGAAGAGTTTGGAGAAGTGAACAATCTAGGACAACATAGATGAACTGGAAAGTGAGCTGAATTGGAGAATTTTTTCAAATCAGCTATGTTGTCCTAGATTGTTCACTTCTCATGCATTCTCCAAACTCTTCACCCTTTTGTGAATAGCCCTTTATATATTGCTGGCTGAGCTTTTAGATCATCACACAGTTACAATAAGGTTCTTGAGTTAGACACTGCCAAATTCTATAAAAACCTAATGTAAGGGGCATTTACCTATATGTCTACATTGGGAATCAGCATGCACCCAGAAGTCATTTCTGGCTAAATGTTCTAAGAAACATTGTCTGAAGTCTCATTACTTGTTCTTTGCAATTCATTGACATCAGCTGACCTGAACTACTAGATGTGCTTTCCATATCCTGTGTGCCCCGCAGTGCTTAATGGTTCCTAGCACTGGCCACTATTCCACTACTGTGTCCTGCAGTGACATGAAAGTTGTTAGAGTGCTGTGAGGGACATAGGACATTGACAATCCTGGAAGTGTCGAAGGACGCTTCCTCTTCACTGGAGCAGTGTTCGCTTACATGGGTAGAGGTATTTGTACTTTGTTTAGAGGCAGGGATTTTTAAGTGAATTTTAGTTTAGCGACAGGGTTGCTTTACGAAAATCAACAAATATGTCTGGCTATTTGCAAAGATAGAGGTGGTAGGTATAGAGAAAGCAGCTGACTCTGGTACAATGTTGCCAATTGTTGGCTAAATGCTGCAGACGAATCATATAAAGTATTCAGATGAGGAAAGTCAAAAGGAAAAATTCCTTATATTCATATCTGTTCCAGGTCAGTGACTCAAAACTAAAGCAAGATGGTTTGCATGACAGCCAGGCAACTAGCTTTTTCAGAAGGAGCAGTTCGCAAACACAGCCTCAATGTTTCTCGATTTGAGATGAGAACAAAACATTTAGTGCTGCAGTTCTGAAGCCGACCTTTACACAAGTCACTTCAGCATTTAGCTCTGATTGCTAATCTTACATTCATTTAAACATATTTTTACATTTAAATTACTGTTTTTCTACTTCCTGGTCCTCTTGGGCATTAGTTACATAGTATTTGAGGTTCAATAAAGACATTAGTCTATCAAGTCCAACCTATTAGGATCTCATTCTAGGAGTACCTGTACCCCTGTATATTACGGTCCCTTAAGAAATCGTCCAAAAGTTTCTTGAACAATTCCACATTATTTGCTGAAATCACCACCTGTGGCAGTGAGTTCCAGACCCTAACTGATCTTACTGTGAAAAACCCCCTTCGCCCCTTGTGCTGGAATTTTTTTTCCCACCAATTTTAGGTGGTGGCCTCTAGTTTTTGTAATGGAGTTAATTTTAAACAGTTTATCGCTAATGTTGCTGCCACCATT